AGTATTTCTATATTTGTTAAATTCACCCAATCGCTGATCAATGTTAATACTACAGCATCATAATACAATTTCATATTTGGCACCTTGAGTCCACCTCTCTCACGAAAATCTTGCATTATTTTAAGTTTCACCCTTGGTTTTTTCCCTGCCCAAACAAATTTATTAATACCTTTTTGCCATTCATCTAAATTACGTTCATTCTTTAAAATAGGTAACATTTGAAACAAAAAAATAAACTTTGGCAGGACATTCATCTTAATAACTGCAATTCTACCCATAAGGGATAACTGTAGATTGTTCCAGATTTTTAAATCCTTCTGTACCTCCATCCACAGCTTTTCATAATTATTTTTATACAGTTTGGCATTAGAAGCAGATAATGTGACCCCCAAATATTTTACCTTATCAACAATTTCAAAATCTGTTAAGTTAACTAAAACCTGTTTATCACCATTAGTCATATTTTTAGCTAATATTTTGGTCTTATTATTATTAATTTTAAAACCAGAAACACATCCATATTGTTGAATCAATTGTAATAATTTTACCACCGAACAGGTAGGTTGAGACAAAGTAACAACCAAGTCATCTGCAAAGGCTCTTAATTTATATTCTTTTTTATTAATTTCTATTCCTTTTATTTCTTGAGACTCCCGAATTTTAATCAACAAAATTTCCAATGTTAAAACAAACAATAACGGAGATAACGGGCATCCCTGTCTTGTTCCTTTTTCTATTACAAAAGCCTCTGACAACCCCCATTTACAATAAGTTGAGCAGTCTGTTTTTGATATATATTAGATAATACTTGTAATATATTTTGTCCAAAATTCATCTCCTTAATTAAACATAACATAAACTGCCAATTCACTTGGTCAAAGGCTTTTTCAGCATCCAAAAATATCAGGCCTGCAGAGACTTGGTTATTCTTTTCTAGATACTCTAATAAGTTAATAATTTGTCTAACATTATTTTTCATATACCTTCCAGTTATAAAACCTGATTGATCCTTATGTATAAACTGCTGCAAGATCCCCATAAGCCTATTAGCTAAAATTTTTGCAAAGATTTTATAATCCACGTTTAAAAGAGATATAGGCCTGTAATTTTTAGGCAATGTAAGATCTTGATTGTCTTTTGGAATCAATGATATAAATGCATTACGCCAAGATGGAGGGATCTCTAAGCCCTGTAATAAGTTATTAAACAATTCACACAATGGTTGAGTCATCTCTTCTACTAAAATTTTATAATAGATAGATGTCAACCCATCCGTACCCGGCGCTTTGCCCAATTTCAGTTGTTTAATTGCTGTAACAATTTCTTCTTTAGTAATTAAACCATTAATCTCTTTTTCCTGATCTTCTGTTAATTTAGGAAAGTTAACTTTACCTAAATAATTGTTTATGTCTGTAGTTTGAATATTAGCACTCTTGTATAATTTTTGGTAGTATTCTAAAAAGGATTTCTTAATCAATTCTTTCTGATATACCAATTTACCATTATAATTTATTTTATCTATATTCCTCTGTTTCTGTTTCTTTCTTAACTGATAAGCCAACCATCTCCCTGGTTTATTAGCATTACAAAATGTATTTTGTTTCATAAATAGTAAATTGGTTGCAGCTTGATCAGCCATCAACATGTTAAATTGTGTTTTTAACAGTTTTAAAGCTCCTTTCACCTTTTCATCTAAAGGATTTGAAATTAAAAGTTTCTCTTTTAATTTAATCTCCTCTTCTAAATCTTTACGTTTCTGAGTCTGTTTCTGTCTATGCAAGTTATTCATTTTTATCAAGATACCACGCATAAAAGCTTTACTTGCATCCCACACCATTGACATTGATGTTCCCTTATTCATATTTAAAGCAAAATATTCCTTTAAACATTCCTTTAATTTATGAACATTTTTTTCTTGTTTAAATAAATTCTCATTCACCCTCCAGGATCTCCTGTCTTCTTTCTCAGCAAACAGTTCCATCCATACTGGACTATGATCAGACAATGTCCTAGGAAAAATTTTTACATTCTTCACCCTGTTATATAAGTCTGTTGTAATCAAAAAGAAATCAATTCTTGAAAAAGATTGGTGTCTATCTGAGAAGAAGGTAAAATCCCTTTCTTCTAGGTTACGTTCACGCCAATAGTCCCTCAATTCCCAATCTTCTTTCATGTCAAAGAAGGCTTTAGGTAGTTTAGCCTGTTTAAAAAAAGTAGAAGAGCCTTTTTTGTCCTTTTGTATATCTAAGACACCATTCCAGTCTCCCATTAAAATCACAGATCTATAGTCCAACAAAGTTATTTTCTGATGTAACAACCTATAGAATTGCTCCTGTTGCTGGTTTGGTGCATACAACCCCACAATAAGAATTTTCTTGCCGTATAAACCAAGTTCAAGCATAACATATCTTCCATGAGGATCCGATTCTAACAGGGTAGCAGATAAGTTCTGTTTAACATAAATTACCACACCCCCTTTTTTCCCAGGGGTGGGAGATACAAAATGAGATCCCAAGCGAGGATTGTTTAAGTATTTTTGGTCTTTAGATGTAATATGAGTTTCTTGCAAGCAAATAACATCATTGTTGTGTTGTTTCAAATAATGGTAAATTTTTTTTCTCTTTTGAGGAATATTTAATCCATTAACATTCCAAGTCAGGAGCTTTGCCATCTCCCTTGGCCTTAAGCCTGGAGAAGATCCCCTCAAATTCTGCTACTGAAGAATAAGTGGCAGAGCTTTTGGGTCTTACTCCTCCCACCGGCACTGAAACAATTTGCTGAGTAGATTCTTTGATTTCTTTTTCTTTTTTCTGTTGTTCTTTTTCTTTACGTTTATGTGCTGCACGGGTCATTCTCTGTTCTTTAACCTCTGCTTGAGACATCCATACCACCTGTCCAGCAGTCATCGCACCTGTATCTTCAGATTTCTGTTCCATCTCTTTATCACTCAGGACTTTGTGCATCATGGGCAAAGGTGAGCCTGCACCCAGGACCGTTTTATAAAATTCCTTAGCTTTAGCAACTGTATTAAGTCTATAACGTGTCCCCGCATGGCTCAAAACAATGCCCATCGGAATCTCCCATCTAAATGGCATTTGTCTTGCTTTAAGTTCATTTGCTAGAAAAGCAAAATCTTTTCTGCTTCTTAAAATTTTAGGTGGAATTTCCTTTAAAATAATAATATCTTGAGCAGCAATCTGAAATCTTTTATTGTAAAAAATTTGCAGAATCTGATTTCGCAAGGACTTCTTAGCAAAGTATATCACCACATCTCTAGGCAGATTCCTCTGTTTTGCAATCCAAGAATTAACTCTGTAAATTCTTTCCACTTCCCCACATAACTCATCTTTGTCCATATTCAAAATAACAGCCAAGTCATTAATCACCATTTCCATCAGGTCTTGAGTTTTATCTTCTTTCAGGCCCCTTATTCTCAAAGCATATTCCATCTGTCTATACTGGAACATAAGAATATCATCTTGTGAAGTTTCCACTTTTTTCTCCATATCTTGGAATTTATAATCCAAGAGTTCTACTGTTTCTTCAATTTCCTCCACTCTAGAGTCCAGCTTCACAACCACTGAGGCCACTCCAGATAAAGCTAGAAGTATATCATCCCTCAATATAGTATTATTCTGTTCTAAAAGCTCCTTCATCTCTTTCTTCATTTCTTCCTTGCTTTCAGATTTATTCTGTTCCAAAAGTTGCTTCATTTCCTCCCTAAACTGTGACACAGCACTTACCATTATTTCTTTAATGTCTTGTGCTGATGTGCCAGATGGGGGGGTGAGGGTGGAGTAGTTTTAGGTTGCTGCACTGAGGGTATTATTTTAAGTTGTTGTTGCACAGTAGAGGTAGCAGGAGAAGAAGTTACTTTAGGAGCTGTAGTAGCTGGTTGTCGTTTTGAAGCCATTTCAATTTATCTTTCTTTCTTCATAAAAATACCAATAAAAAGTAAATAGTCCAAAAGTTAAAAATAAAGTAAAATAGAATAAAATAGAATCAATTTAAAAGCTCCCAAAAGGTAAAGAAAAACTTAAAAAGGAAAGCAGTATTAAACAACAGTTCAGCCAGTCCGTCTTTCAAAAGAAAAAAAAACTTTCAAAACGCCATTTTACTTTCACTCTCACTTTTCCTCCCGGGAAGAAAAAGAGAAAGCTTAAAAAATAAGAAAAAATCAACACATGCTAAATAAACTAAATAAAAATAAAATAAAACTAAACTATAAATAAAATCCTTTAAACAGTTCTGTCCGGTTTAAGATTACTCAGTAAAGAGACTATATTGATGTTAAATTTAATTACAGCGGCTAGGTTGTTAGTAGGGCAATGTTGGAAGAAGGAATCTTTGCCTACCTTGCAAGAGTGGTTTCTTAAAGTTTCTTATTTGGTGGAAATGGCAAAGATTTCGGCTTTCTTGAAAGATCAATCGCAAGAGAAGTATTTTTTGGTATGGAAAAAATAGATAGATTTCATACAATATAAGTTGGATATAAAAAAATATTACTTAGTTTTTGAATAATTTATATTTAAAATTTAAGATATTTTATAGACATATTTTTTCTTTTTTTTAATTTTCTTTTTATTTTTTTATCTGATTTCTTCTTTTTCTGTTTCTTTTTTCCTTCCTTTTATTTTTTTTATTTTTATATATATATATATTGTTATTAACTATTTTATAATTTGTTTAATTAATGTATTTAGATTTGCTTATGGTTTATATGTGTTTTAGGATTTTTTTTTTTAAATTTAATTAAGCCTGTATTCAGCTCTCGGAAGGTTGGGGGAGGGTAGGGGAGGGTTGGGAGGGTTCGGGGAAGGGAATTGTTCTGTAAAACTTAAAAATTTTCAATTAAAAAAAAATATAGGCTATATATAAAGTATTGAATGGAAAGGATGGAAAATTTAAATTAATATTTAAATCACTTTTATTGTTAATTTAAAACAAAGCACTATATTACTATTTTAGTCAACACTTTCTTATGTTATAACAATACATACATTTTCCATCTTTTGTTCTCTGCTTGTAGGACCTGAAAAGACAAAATTTTGTGATGACTAAATGTTGAACTTTTTCTGCCAAGCAAAAGAATTGCTTAGCAGATGCATTGGTAATTTGTTAACACCCTACAGACCTTAATTGTAACTCAAGAGATAGGACTGCATCCAGAAAACCATGAATGGAAGGGAAATAACCAATGTTTTGTAAAAAAACCCCAAAAAAACAAAAAAGGTGCTGGAACTCACACGTCATACAACCCGCTTTGCCTACCCTACAAGGTTCCATCCAAAAAAGGTGCCGGAACTCCGTTCTGGGCATTCTATGACAAAAAAAAAAAAAAAAAAAAAGCCCTGGAAATAACTATTGGTCTTGTTCTGCAGCACTTATTCAAAAGCTTGCAAAATCACTCTATCACAACAGTTTTGTTTTATAAGTTTCTATACGGTTTAACTAATATAGGCAAAAAGCTGGATCAAAATGTCATCTAGGACCAAATGGATTTGAGATACTACTAAGCTTTTCAGAACACTGACCTAGAGCATTAACTGGTCAAAACAATAAGGATCCTCCAATGAAACTTATTGCTCATGCTTGTGCACAGGATATTCAACTAATGGTTATCAGTATTTTGGCATTAGATTAGGGTGGGCAGAATTGGACTGATTCCGTTTTTGACTACCTAATGACTCCAGGTTGATTCCTCTTTTGACTCCAATCCAGGTTCTACTCCTCCTTCTCCTACACTTCCCCACCTCCCATTTTAAGCGCAGCAGAGAAATTCTCAATGAAGTAATCAATATTTGAGAGAATTCGTAAGTTCTGGCAAACCTCCACAGCTACAAGATTTATAGAATCCAAATCAGTGTTAGATATTAAACTTCAAAGACCTTATCCACTTTCTCTGTTATTCAAGATGACATATATTCAATATAATGAACTTTATTTTGGACTTTGCCCAGCATATGGTAAAAATATAGAGATTACTGTGCAAATTATATGTAAAATTACTAGCTATAATTTAAGAACAGTCCATGTGTCTGTTCTTAGCTATGAAATTATGAAATAGAATTATGACTAAATGAAATTAAGAAAATTATGCACAGAACATAAAAACTATGAAATTATTAAAACCCAAAAGTTATAAAATATTACAAGATTAATTTAAACTAGCACTTAATTAAATTTATAATAACTAAATACTACAGTAAAATTACAGTAATAAAGTATTATAAGATAGTATTCCAGGCCATCCTGAAAGCTAAAAGGTACAGCTGCAACAGTGAAAACTCTGAAACTAAAGAATAAGGATATAAAATCAGATTACAACTGCAATATGTGTAAGCCTGATTAACACTTGTTATCAGTCGATTTCCACCAGATTTTGCATCATGTCATACAGAATTTAGCAACACTGTAAGTTATGAAAGAAAAAAATCCAAGAGAAATTAGTAGATATAACATTAGTTTGGGTGGTCTGTAAGCCTGGAAAGTAATGTATAAGTTATACTATGAATGCCTCTGTAAATGAGCAGTTGAAAAGGACATGCCTGGTAGTTTCAATTTCTCCATCACCACAATGGCACAGGTGTCCTGGAAAACGGATCTTCCCATGTCTTTCCTCTTAACAGTTGAAAGAAAAATGCTGCAGCACAGAGGAAATGCTGCCTGTAATTAGATGTTGTGGTTGCCTAAGGTAGAATCATACAGTCAGAAGGAATCTTTCAAATCTTCTAGTCCAGTGGTTCTCAACCTGTGGGTCGGGACCCCATTTGGGGTCGAATGACCATTTCATGGGGGTCACCAAACCATGCTGTCTGCCATTTTTTTCCCTTTTCCCTAGCTGTCCTACTCCCTCTTATTGGTGGCCACACCCACGTGGGGGTCACCACAACATGGGGAACTGTATTATGGGGTCACGGCATTAGAAAGGTTGAGAATCACTGTGCTAGTCCAACCTTCCTGTATAGGGAAGGAATCCTCAGAAAAATGCAGAGAAATGGCTAGCCAAACTTTTCTTGGAAACTTTGAATGATAAGAACTTCAGGAGATAGGCTTAACCCCTTTTACAACTAGGAAATTACTACTTATTTCAAGTTGGTACCTCTGTCTTGAAAGTACTAGTGCCTATCTTCAGCTTTTATTAATGGGAAGCTTTATGACCCAGCTCAGGTCAGACTGTCACTCTCCATCCATTCTGCCTTGCTTCAGAAGAGTTCTCATTTGCTCATAAACTGGAAGCTGGGAAATATATTCGAAGTAAGCTTAAACAACAGTGCCTCAGCTTCAATCATTTTTCACTCTTCAGGTGGTGTTCTCTCACTGAGTAGAGATAGGAGCCGCTCTCTCTACAATGTTCCATGCTAACTAGTCACTCTGTTTTATGACTTGTGGCAGGGTGGATTTGATTTAAATCAGGTTGATTTAAATCACAATTTAAATCGTGATTTAAATCACTAGTAAAAAGGCTTGATTTAAATCAACTCGATTTAAGTCATAATTTTTCAAGAGTAACTACTGTATATGCCGATGTATAAGGCAACTTCCGCGAGCGCTAAAATCGGCACCAAAGACGGGGGTCGTCTTATACGCCGAGTCGTCTTATACGCCAGAAATACTGGTAGTTTCTGGCGTATGACATTCTAGGAATGTGGCTTGGCGATAAAGACGGGGGTCGTCTTATATGCCGGGTTGCCTTGTACGCCGACATATACGGTATCATTTCTGTCCTGCAGCAGCTCCTTTTCTGACCCGCTGTTGACTCACCAACAGTCCCATTCACTTTAATGGGATGACTGATGATGCGGCAGCAACACAACAAGGTGAGGGAGGTGGCAGGCAGCAGGTGAGTGGATACCCGCTAAAAGGCACTGCCATGATGGATCTGAAATGACAGCTACCCTTTAAATGTAAGGACTCATTCTTGCTGTTAAGGTAGAATCTTTAATATTATTATTTGCAAACAAAATGAAGGTTTTCTATTTAGAATAATAAGCTGTCAGGTTAGTAAAACAGAGATATCAGAACCAATTTTAGGTTAATAGGTTAATCACACGTACCATATTTCCCTGAAAATCAGACCTACCTCCAAAATAAGACCTACCCTGATTTTCGAGGGTGGGCCTAATATAAGCCCTACCCTAAAATAAGCCCTAGTTAGGACCCTGCCCACTCTGTCCCACTTCTCTGCCGCAGTGGGGCAGGAGAGCACATGTCACACTGTTGCTGCCAAAACGAGGCAAGGCAGGTGGGGGAGGGGGGTGGACCTGCCCCACACATCCTGCACCCACCTCCAGCCAGGCCATTCCTTGCTCGGTGACATTCCCTTTCACTCCCCTCCTGAGCCGGACTACCATACTACAGAGGATGGGCAGATAGGTCCGGTCCCTCTCTGCCATTTTGGAGCCAGGAGGGAGTGATGGCGAGTGCTTCACCCAACAGATCATCTGCCCAGCGGCAGTTGCCACCTCCTATTCCACCAACTCTTCCGTGACTTGCGCTGTGACCAGACAGTGCAAGCCTCCCCTGCCACCTCCCTCCGCCAGCCTTCCATTGCCGCCACTGGCGAGAATGGAGAATGGGTAGGGGAGAGGTTCTGCGCAGCAATGCAGAGCAGAGAAGAGCACTTTCTTGCCGCCCTGCATCGCCCAAGGTATCCATTCTCCATTCTGAAAATGGCAGCCCCGTTTCCTGCTACTTCTCCTCCCAGTGCTGCTGTAGAGTTTGGCGCACCACCGCCCAGCTCCTCTCTCTTCCCAAAAGCATTTCTTCATTAACCTGCTTTCCAGCTCTGACGTGTTTCTCTCTTGCTGCAGGGAAACAGAGTTTGTGGGACTAAAAAAAGTTCAGTCAGATCTTCCAACTTCTGATGAAGTTGGTTGGTGGAAGGAGGCAGCAGGAGAGACTTGAGCTGCCCGGTCACGGTGTAAGCCATGGGAGAGTTGTTAGAAGAGGAGGTGGCAGCTGCCACTGGGCAGATGATCTGTGGGGTGAAGCACGAAGAAAGCACAGTAGCAGCAGAGCTTCTTACCATCACTCCCCCAGCTCCAAAATGGCAGAGGGGGACCGGGCGTACCCTGCCCATCCTCCATAGCATGGCAGTCTGGCTCAGAAAGGGAATGAAAGAGAAGGTTGCCAAGCAAGGACTGGCCTGGCTGGTGGGGTCCTGAAGTAAGCAGGTATGGGGTGGGTGGGCATCTCCACCCCCTCCCCCACCTACCTTGCATTGTGGCAGTGGCACGATGTGCCACAGGCCTCCTGCTGCAAGTGGCCGCAGCAAAAGTTGGCTGGCAGCCATGCGGGACAGGGCTGTTGGTGCTGCCAACGTGAGGCAAGGCAGCTGTCACAAAAAATATAAGACATCTCCCCAAAATAAGACCTAATGCCTCTTTTGGAGGCAAAATAATATAAGACTGGGTCTTACTTTGGGGAAACATGATAGTTGGAGAACTACTCAAATTCTTTTATTTAATTAAAACACTTAGAGCTTGGTACAGATGCATTTTTCTTCAAACAATCATACAGCTTATAGTGTACATAGATTTGCAAAACAATGGGATAAAAGAATATTCCTGAACTTTGTTTTATGATTTATCTCATGGTTACTGTGAAATTGTGTGAATGCATCAATGCAATGCATATTATCTCAGCTTGCAAAGCTTGGATTCATTGAATGAGTTTACCAAAAATGTAAATATTGCAGAATATACAGCCTCATGCTACATAACTAAGCTCCATTTCATGCTGAATAAACTAAATTGTTAATGTATCTTAAACAGAAAACTATATTTAGATAGATTTTTACTCCAAAAGCATTTTATTAAAATAAATTTGATAAAAATAAAAAAAAAATCAGATTTAAATAAAAGAAATTTGATTTAAATTTTAAAAAATCTGATTTGGATTTTTTTTTAAAAAATCATTGATTATTATTACACCCTGATTTCTGGTCTCAGTGGCTTTTGATATTCTTTATTCTGGTATCACCCAATTGCTTACAATAATTAGTAGTTGAGCAGCACTGTTCTTCAATGG